ACAGCACCTGTTGAAATTCTTGGTCTCAGAAAGTGAAAACATCAAGATTTGTTTGATGAACATGATCCTGAGATAAATACTCTTTTGAAGGTAAAAATGATGCATATCAAAAGCTTTTGAATGCTTCAGACAAGCACTGTGTATTATTGCTTCAATCCTTCAAAAAAAAAAAAAGAGATCCAGAAAAACAATAAAAAGAATTAATACTGAGAAGGCATCAGGTCTTGATGGTATTTCAGACCAAAGTACTACTTCATGAGAGCAACAAGCTTAATGCAGAGATATATCATATGATTTTGGATATTTGGTCAGAGGCACCTGTACTTCTGGATTGGGTTGAAGTAATCATTATCTCCTTATTTAAGGGGAAAGCATCAAAATTGGCATCTGGGGACAATTGGAGGAGAATCCTGTTTGAGGCTGTGGGTAAAAGTTTTTGCAAAATTTCTTAATAGGCTTACAAAGTGGATTTTCTCTTGAGTTATACCTGAGGCACAATGTGGATTCAAATTGGGAGGAGACACAATGAACATGATCTCACCTCGCCAACTGCAGGAGAAATGTTGAGAACACTGTGTTGCATTGTATCAGGTATTTATTGATCTGACCAAGGTCTTTGACTTCATAAATAGGGATGCTCTCTGGACTATTCTCAGTAAGATAGAATGTCTTCCAGACTTTGTAAGAATTTTCAAACAATTTTATAAGGAGATGAAAAGGTGACTTAACTTCAATAGGTTTTGATCAAAACCTATAGCTATTGAGAATGGAGTTAAGCAAGGTGACATTCCTGTTTTATTCTCTATCTTTACTGTGGATCTCATGCATGTTTTCTAAGGATTGTGAAGTCAGTGTGCACCTGCAATTTAGGACCATGGGTAAAGTTTTTGACTCAACTCATTTCAAGGCTAAATCAAACTCATTCCAGTCCGTTATTCAAGACTTACTTTATTCTAATGATGTAGGCCTCATTGCTCATACCGAAAAGAGATGAGAATATAATGGACAATTTTTTGAGAGCATGCACTTAGGCTAACCCTCAATATAAAAAAAGATTATGGTTATGTACACTCTCTTCCAGGGCAGCACTATGTCAAACCTGATGTTTTTGTTCAGGATCAAAGGCTCAAGGTTGTTGATATCTTTGTCTACCTTGGAAATATTCTGACTAGAGATAGTTCTTTGGTTCCTGAAATCAATTGTAAAGGCCAGCAAAGCTTTTGGTAAAGTAGAAAACAGGTCTGATCAGACAGAGGAAATCATGTGTTTTTACTGCTCTTTTGTACTCTTCAGAGACATGAACTATATATTACCATCGTATTGAAACTTTGGCAAGGTTTCATCAAAAGTACCTTAGGCATATCTTAAACATCAAATGGCAGTCTTTCACACCATACACAGTTTTTCTGTAAACATCCACTACAGAGAAACTGCTCATTTGTAAACAACTGGGATGAGCAGGGCATCTCAGGAGAATGGCAGATGAGAGATTGCTTTATGAGTGCACAAGGAAAAAGTCACTTTCAAAATTCCTTAAAAGTCTTTCATGTGTCACATATGTAAAACGTTATGCAGAACTGAGGATGGTTTGCAAAGCCATCTGCAATCCCATGGCTGCTCAGTTCAAGGTTCAGTGATGACCTTCTTCTGAAAAATGCCAGTTATCATATATTAGCAGCATGCCTGTGCTTGATTCAAAAATCGTACGACTCATACAGCAATCGCTATCACTTGACTTAAAATATTTTTGCTCTTCCTTATCTTTAAAGGAGTGCCCTTTGCCGTGCTGATGTTGCTACATGCCTTACTTCTTGCCTATCTCACACTGCGAATTTTATCTAAGCTCTATACTAAACATTAAATCTGTAACAAAAAAAGAACTAAACAAAATGAACACAAAACGATCAGCTTTAAAAAAAGGACTCGTAACTGGAAAAACCGAATGAAAAAAGAATGTTAACAACAAATACATTTTCACACCCAACCCAGTTTTGTGGAATCAGAATCAACGTTGAGTTTAAGCAAGCGAATGAGCCAATTGGAGTAAAGTGCCATGCAGATTTAAATTTTTCCACTTGTGACGAATGCAGCTATCGATTTTTTTTTTGCATGCTAGCATGCTAGTTAACATTCGTGTCAGTCAGCTGTTGGCTCTCATGCTGGCCAATAGAATCTTCCTGCATATTCGTGGCAGCTGGCTATAGGCTCTCACTCTGGCCAGTACAAAATGGCTGCAAACTACATGAAAATTGCCATAGAAGCATGAAAAAATCAATTATTTCCACTATCGATGGGAGTTGGGAAATGCAAAATCAGTCTTGGCCTTTCCGCTAACTTGGAGCATGTGCATTTAAATTTTGGTGCAAATCCGTCGAAAATTGCGGCCGTGCATTCGTTACACACACACACATCCTGCCTTTTATAGATAGAGATAATAACTGACACTACTTCATCTAATAAATTCAGACAACTTAAATGTACTATGAGGTGTAAAATAAGAGAAATAAAATGAAAAAGAAAAAAATAATAGACAACTACACCACCCACAAACCTGTTCCTTTTAAAAGCCGCTCATGATACAAAATAATGTAAAAAAAATGTTATCAATTTTATTATTAATTGCACATATTTTAATTTGTATTTGCAATACAAGTTATTGTAATAATTATTATAATTCACATTATACAATATTATTTAAATCAAACACAATAATAATTTAATAAATAGAAAGATTTTCAGAATTTGTGAAAAAAATGCAGTCCCTGATACACAAAACAACAACAAAATAATGACAAACGTTTCACATGTTGAACAAATTGATTTTCGAATAGAAAATTTGAAATGAAAATGCATCGGTTATTGAACAAAATTTTTGTACTTGAACAACATAGCTGAACCGAGTTAACACAAACATAATAATCTCTGAGTCGACTGCCATGTTGTATACATTTGTGTGTTGTGCTGTGCTTTTCTTTTCCAATTTTATTGTACTGCGACTTTTTTCTCTACATTGATTCCTTTTGGAAAAATAATTTCGAGTTACAAATAGCCTTCAGGAATGAATTAAATTTGTGATTTTTTTTTGAATTTTTACTGTACCTTCAACATATTAAATTTTTAATATGATATCATTGAAATAAAATTAATAGTTGTAACAATTCATACATTGATTTGACAAATAACACTTAATTTGTCAAAAGGGGAAGACACGAAGGTCATTTGAAAAAACAAAGAAATAACAATTTGTCTTATTAGGGAGATTCAAATTGAAATAACATAAAGTATCAATGCCTCATTTTGTGTACTTAGTTTCATTTTTTTTCTCGGTATTTTTTCAAAATAATAATTATATTTTTTATTATATATACTTGTTTCCTCCTCACATTTATTTAGAAATATATAACAGTGGCAAACCAGTGTGCATCTATTTATTTATTTATTTACCATCATGTCATGTGACAATTTTCCAGCCATACAGATTATGCTTTACAATGACACGCCTACATAGCCTCTTCCCCTATCAAGTAGTTGCCAAATATCTGTTATATTTGTTTATAAAAGAATGTTCTAATGTAGTGTAGTAAATTGTATAAATATGTATTATGTATATTTAAATTTATTTAATAATGTTGTTAGGGCACATCAACATGATGTAATGGTTAGTCTTGTTAGTTCATTTACAACTGAGTAGTGAGTTCAATCTTCACTGGGTGCCCCATACTTTTAGCCTTGTGTCACATCTAAGCAGCACTTAGAAAATCTTTTGTGATGTTGGATAGTTTCGCTTGTCACTTTTGCTATGTCAAGTTAAAGCTTGTTATCACTTCCAAAAATGCTCGTTATATTTGAGACTTTGTAGATGCTTGTACTAGTAGAAACACTTTCCAATAATATCTGCACTAGTAATACTTGTTCAAGTAGTAATCGCCAAATAGTATAATGATCAGAAGAGAATTGTAATCCGTATAGTAATAGAGTAGAGAGAGAGAACTGGTGCACTATGTGCCACAAGATCCCCAAACGACCCTCTGCAGGTTTTGAATTCAGAGTTGTCCTTCTTCTAGACCAGAACCCAGTCTGTCCTGCTATTTATCCATAGCTGGAGGGAGAAGAAGAGGATTCATACCTTTCCAAAATGTATTAGTATAGTGGATAGACAAGAAGAGTTAACGGTGATCACAATAGTCATCACACTATTTTCTATTTATTCACTTCCTTTATGATCATGGGATCCACTTAATAATGGAATTGTCCGTGTTACTCACTGGCAATCTAGTTTCAAACCACAGTGTCGGTAATGACACTTACTCTTATATAACAAAATCACTATTTAATAATGTGATGTAATGGAATAACCTTGAGTGAGTGACTACACTATAGGGAGTAACTACCTATAAGTATCTGTAAGTCAACGGACTACAGAGACTAGATGGGATCTGTTGAGTACGACTCAGACTTACATGAGAACTATCAATCTTCCAATAGTAGCACTCACTATGGGATTGACTTGCGATGATCTTGTGCATAACTATTACCTTTATTCTTATTGTATTGGTTTTTACAATAAACCTTTACTTATTTTATCCACCTTGTTTTTCAAGTATATATTTCTATTATCACAGAATATAACATAATGTTATTATAATGTATTATGCATTTTTATTATTTTTCATACGTCTAATAGTTGGAATATAATATGCAAGTGTTTGTTTATATATGCAGAATGAAAAACAAATACTGAATTTCCTATTAAAAATACTAATAAAACCGAAAAAAACTGGGTTAGCTGAAGAAACCCTTGTCTAATTTTAATGAAATTTGGCATTGCACTTGGTAGGTGTCCAAGGTACAATATGCTTCTAAATTCTTTTTTAAGCTGTATCTTGGGAACATACATACATACATACAAGATTAGAGTTTAAGAATTCTATAGATAATGTTGAAAATCATGTTGGTCTTTATCTTCTTTTACCTTTTTATTTTCTTTGTCACTTTTACAGAGTATTATTGCTAATGACAGACATTGTTTTGAATGTTATGGGTAAGTACAGCAATAATTTCTATTTTCTCTACTGACTCTAATTCACCATTGAATCATTTTGATTTGATTATAGCCTCTGAAAATCTTTCAGACGTCATTGGTTTGCTTAGGTGTGGCCATCCACACTTCCCAACAAAATTAAATAGTATCAAGGTTGATACTAAATCAACCAGTATATATGGTTTAACTGAAATTATATTAGTATCTTAATTTAGTTGATGTGAGTTTTGTTAAATTTATGTTCATTTTTTTAACCTGAAAGCCTTTCTTGAAATTAGAAATGACTTGAAAATAACCGAAAATAACAATGAAATAAGGAATGGCTGATCATATGTAGAGTGAGAGGAGAACTTATAGTGGTGATTTTCTAAGTGTAGCTTAGATGTGGCACAGGGCTGAAAGAATGGAACACCCAGTGTGGATCAAACTCATTACTCAGTCATAATTGATCTAGTGAGACAAGCATGCTAAACATTATATTAAAGTTCTGAAATACCCAAGGAAAACTTGTAGTATTTGTGAAGAAAAACTTTAAAAATCTATATAAATTAAAGTTGAGTAAAATGAAGGATGCAGTACCTTCAGCATGTCTGATGCTAACCTCCAGAAGAGTGAATCATTGTGCCTTCTCAGGCTAATGTTCTCTGCTGACATGAAGTGGAAAGATTATATTGAATCAATTGCTATTTCTACTGCTAGGAAAGTTGGTTCACTGAGTCATGCTAGACAATTCTTCTCACCATAATCTATCTTACATATTTATAAGTCTACTATTTTTCCATGAATTGAATATTGTTGCAATATCTGATCTGGTACTTCTATGTATTTAGAGATTCTTGAGAAAATCCAGAGAAGAATCTGCAATGTTATTGGTCCTGACTTGGCATCTTGCTTTCAGTTACTTTCTCACCATCATAATGTAGTTTCCTTGTACCTTTTCCATAAATACTTTCATAGTAATTGTTCTGAGGAACTTTCCTATTTGGTACCTTATGAACTTATGAAGAAGATTGGTATGTGAAACCATGTCAAACACTTTTGATATGTCCAAAGCATCAGCCATATCTTCACCAGTCTTATCTAAACTTGATAGGCTCTTTCAACAATAATCATTAGTACATCAGCAGTTGGCGCAGAGAAGCAAAAGCTATACTGCTTGTCTGAAAGAAGGCCCTGCGATGTGAAATGCTTAACCAGAGTTGATTAAGGCCTCTAGTAGTTTGCCAAAAAGAGGTAGAAGTCTAATAGGCTGATAGTTCAAAGGATCAGACAGTTCACCTGAGTTCTTAAAGGTTAGAACAACAGAGCAGAATTTCCATCAAGCAAGAAAGCAAGAGGCAGTGAGGCATTTATTGTATAGGTCAGAAAGAACAGGAGCTAATTTAGGAGCATATTTTTTAAGGAGTATTACAGGTGTACCATCAGATCCATATGCTTTGTGGGGATGCAGATTAGAGATGATAGCAGAAACTATGGAAGGAGTTATATGCATATCACTCAAGAGAAACTCACTTCTAAGAAGGAAGTCATGCAAGGATATTCTAGATGAGTCAAGAGTAGAATTTGGGGAGAATTTATGGGCAGAACAATCTGCTTTAGCAGCAGAGGATGTTAACACCTCAAAATGAGTGAAGAAAGTAGCAATAGAAAATGTACTCTTATCTAATACACTATTATGGAGCCACCAGTAGCAACAAGAGTTGTTAGAGGCTATACGGTATCTCATTCTATCAGCAAACAAAGACTTAGCTCCTTTGAGGACGTGTTTATATTTGTTATGTGCACTCATAAATATGCATCTGTTGAGATTGGAACCACCCCAATTGGTATATATATATATATATATATATATATACTTGACTCTCCCATCAAATTCAATGTATGAGGGTCAAGCTCAGCTCCTAGAACCGACAGGAACCGACAATGAGACACCAGCACATATAATTTGATTATAGTTTTTGAAGGGAAGTTTTAGCATGCAGAACCATCGAAACACTTTTAAAGGGAATATCGTGGTTTTACAGGGGGCAAGGTTTATTTTGGTGCATAATTTTTATCGAGGCGGGTTCAAAAAATTTATTTTAAAAAAATCCCCCCAAATCAACCCCATTAAATGCTTTGCCACATTCAATTGTGGAATCGATAATTTGATGAACACAGAACTGGTGCACTACACAAGGTTCAAACGACCTTCTGCAGATTTTGAATTCAGAGTTATCCTTCTCCTAGACCAGTTGCCATCCAAGGCTATAGAACCCAGTCTGTTCTGCTATTTACCTATAGCTGGAGGGAGAAAAAGATTCATACTTTTCCCAAGGGTATTAGCATCTAAGTAAATGTAATGGATTCAATTGAAATTTGAACTTGACTCTCCAATTCTTCAATTGGTTTTGCTATCCTTACTCTACCATGCCTCCAATATTTACATATATATATATATATATATATATATATATATATATATATATACAATTTATTTTAACGAAAAACTTAGTAATTTCTATGGGCAGTTCCAAGGGGGATGAAATCCTGAGAGCTCAATGTCAATTCAGAGCTAATAAAAAAAAAGAAAAATTAATTTTAAGGCTCCATTGTCATATTTATTTCCCCAGAGATTTTTAAAATTATTCTGGATCTTTGGACATAACTTTCAAATGGTGAATAAAAAAAAAATTATTTTATTATTTATTTTATTTTTTTTTTTCATTTTTTGTTTCACTGTTTTCACTGTTTGAAAGTGATGTCTGCAGATCCAGAATACTTTAAAAGTCTCTGGTGAAATAAACTATTACAATGGAGCCTTAAAGTGGACTGTTTTCTTTATATATATATATATATATATATATATATATATATATATATATATATATATATATATATATAAAGACAAAAGGAAAACTTATCTTAGCCAATGTATTTTGTCCTCTGGTAGATGTAAGGTAAATGTAAAGATTTTATTTTGCAACTAGTGTTTATAGACAGAAGTAAGAAATGTCATTAGTGTAGTGGTATGATTGCTTGATTAGCATAGCTAAGGCACTGAGACTATATAAGTGCTCAAGCAGTCAGGGAGGGCAGAATATGATATTATGTGAGATTAACAACTACAACTGGACTGAGAAAATATAAAGGAAATCACATTTCATAACAGGTTTTCAGAATTTTTCAATTTAAAAATGCTCATAAGGCTAACTGAAAGTCAAGGTAAACTATGGAAGATGCTAAGTGATGTAATTTAATGCCTAATAAATGAAAGTGTGTAAATGTCATTGTTGTTGAATTTTTTTTATAATTGTTGTGGATTCCGAGATGAAATTTGGTCTCCAATGAATGACAAACGCAAGAATGAAATATAACAAATAAAATGTATTTACACAATAATACAATGGGTAATACTGTTAGTAAATCCAGGAATGCAGTTAGTAGCAATAATAATATATATATATACAGTCTCGAAGGAGGACTTCCTTAGAGTCTATGTGCTTGTAACTATGACTTTGACAAGCGATTACCTCACACTATTACTCTACCTCCAACTCAATCACAATCTCTATCCCTCTACTCTGACTGACTCTGGGTATTTAACGGCAGCAGTCCAATGACACGCTGGTCAAGTCCACTTATATGAAAAAGGGGAGGACCCCATAACAATAATGTAATTATTATTTGTATTATTTTAGTTTGAGATTAATTTATATTATATTCTAAATAATAGGAGTTATTGAATTTAACTATTTACTTTTAATTTTTTAAAATTTTTATGGTCATGTATGCTGGATTGGGAAAAGAGTATTTCTTTTAGGAAAGGAGACATTTGAAAAAATCTGATGTGCTGATTTATATTTCAGTAATATTCAAAGCAGGTATATATAAAATGAACTAATAATAAGATAATTGATTCAATCAAAGCAATACAATAATTTGGATGACTTGGCTAAAATCATTTAATTATAAAATTGAGAATAATGACTATTTTATGACATCTTGGCTTCCTCTTCTGTACTTCATTATCCACACATTTTTATCAAGAAAAATTTCCAGAAAATATTTGGATCCACCTCTGGAATATTTTTTTATAAAAATGGTTTCATCCATTCCTGAAATTTTAAATTTTAATATTCATTTTAAATTTCATATTCTCTTTCTTTTTTCAGTTACGACATCATCATTGATAACAATCTTAAACCTTGGCTAATTGAGGTATGAAAAAAAGACTTCATTTTATGATTCATTTTTGATTCCTATGTTTTTGTCTTAATTTCAGTTGCTTTCCATTGAAGCAACTCAGACCATTTACTAATACTTGTAAAATAACAGTCTGAGTAATGGCAAAGGAAAATAACTGAAATTAAAATAACAAAAGAAACACATCTGACTAGAATTTCTTTCATCTTATTTCTCTTACTTTTACACCAAGTAGTGATAGTCTGAAGTCACCTGAATTTTTTAGATGAAGAATTATTATTAGTTTTTGACTAATATTTGTTTTTGTTTCTCTTGTTTTACACCAAGTAATAATAGTATTAATTTGGATGAAATATTGTCAATTATTATTGATTTTTGACTAGTATTTCTTTCATCATATTTCTCTTGCTTTTATACCAAGTATCAAAAATTTAAATTAAAAGGTTTAAAATTCCATTTTCTTCTCTTTGTCATGTACATGTGTATTTACATCACTTCAATCCTATGAAGTCATGAAAGATGAAACATGTCACACAAATCAGAGGTTGTAACAAAATTTCCAAAGCTTATGCAAATAAATTTATAATACTTGTAAAAAAATTGTTTTTATATAAGGGTTTGCATATATACACAATAGGTGAATTTATTTATCCAAATATGCAAAATTAGCCATTTTTATGAATTTGGAGAAACAATTCAAAGTGGTTCTAAACTTTTCATTGGTAATATATATATATATATATATATATAAATGCAATATATATCCACATATATATGAGGGTCTATCAAAAAGTAATGACTGTTTTTTATTTACAACAGAAGAACATTTCCAAATCTAGTTGTCAAACATAGTCCCCTACCAATTAAAACATGGTACAAGGGTCAGTCAACAATGTAATGCCAATTCTTCTTTATTTACAACAGCTTTAACAGTAGAAACAAAAAAAAAAAAAACATACCAAAATGAACACAAACCTGCCAGAATAACAAATCTAGTTCTCAATAAGGTTTCCTTTCTTCTAAATCTAGTTCTGGGTATATAAATTACATCTGGCAGCAAGATTTGGAGGAGTGTGGAACCACCTCTTAATTGGTGTTGTTCCCAGGTCTCCCTTGACTCAGGGTGGTAGCACCTGTTAGGGTCTCATCTATGGGAAAATAGTGAATCCCCAAATAAAAATCAAAACATTATGAAAGTATAAAAATAGATTCTTATTGTAAAATACCAGTAATATATTTTTATAGTGAAATTACAGACAATACATCTGTACAAAAAATAAATTATTCCCATTAATACATTTTTATAGTAAATTTATTAGCAAAATATTTTATAGAAAAATGACTTAAAATACTTTTGATATGTCCTGGAAAGGGATATATTTGAACAAAGTAGCTAAGTGGTTTTGGCTACTATAACCAAGTAGAATACGGTAGCAGTAATCGACTGGTACGCGTCATAGTCGCAGGTAAGAAGTGTAGATCAATGGCGTAGTCCAATGGGTGTCGTTATAGACTTAGCTCTCAGACCAAGGCTCTTGACTCACCTACACCTCCGTCGGTATTTATGACAGACACCAGCCAATCATATTCCAGTGAGGGGGAACACAGGTGTACGTATATTCCATTATATCACAATGTATGAAGATGGACGATAAAGTAGACTCTCTTATACGATTAAAGGGGATCAATCGTGTAAGACGAGTGTAGCGGATTCAAGACAATTGGGATGTAACTAAAAACTAATACAAGTTTAAATCACGAGTCATCGCGACCGAGAGTGTTAGTGCATTGATTTTATTCAACTCCTGATCGCACCAAATTTTGAGCTGTGTCCCAAAAGTGTCGTCCGTGTATCGAATATTTACACACAGGTGTATGCATATTCCATTATATCAACTTTTTATAAAAAAATGACCAACAATACATTTTTATAGAAAAATGACAATGGAATTTATAAAAAATACATTTTTATAAAAAATTACCAACAATACATTTTTGTAGTGAAATTGCCAGCAATATATTAAAAAAAATTGCCACAAGATATTCTTAGGCATGGACAGTCTATCTCTGTAGATTGAACAAAGTGTTCGGTTCAGAATTCCCTCTAGATTACCTGGATATTTTTTCCCCCTTCTTTCTTTCTTCCTTCCCTCCTCCGTTCTTTCTTTCTTCTTTCCTTCCTACCTTCTCTCTTTCTTCTTTCTTTCTGATATGTCCCGGAATATGGTAGAATATGGTAGCGGTAATCGACTGGTACGCGTCGTAGTCGCAGGTAAGAAGTGTAGATCAATGGCGTCGTCCAATGGGCATCGTTATAGACTTAGCTCTCAGACTAAGGCTCTTAACTCACCTACACATCTGTTGGTATTTATGACAGACACCAGCCAATCATATTCCAGTGAGGGGGAACACAGGTGTATGCATATTCCATGACCAACAATACATTTTTATAGAAAAATGACAATGGAATTTATAAAAAATACATTTTTATAAAAAATTACCAACAATACATTTTTGTAGTGAAATTGCCAGCAATATATTAAAAAAAATTGCCACAAGATATTCTTAGACATGGACTGTCTATCTCTGTAGATTGAACAAAGTGTTCGGTTCAGAATTCCCTATAGGTTACCTGGATCAATATACATTTGATGAAGTTCAGAGAGCGCAATGGCCGAAATGTGATAACAACAACAAAAATGAAGACAATAGTTTGAATGCAACACAATATTAATAACTTCTTATCCCAGAAATTTAGACAGGAGAGTTACAATATAAATGTGATATTACTTATGTAACATGGAGTCTTCTCTTTTCATGTCATTCCATTTCAATGTTAATTTAGTTTACTGGCTATATTAATTCCTAGCTAAGAATTTTTTAAAATTTTATTCTTCTTTCCAGGTAAATGCATCTCCATCTTTGACAAGTACAACTTCAACTGACCGTGTCATGAAGTACAACCTTATAAATGATGTCATCAACATTATTCTGCCACCCGGTGACATACCTGAGTATGTATCATTTATTTATAAATATATATTAATAATTTTGTTTCAAAATTAAGTGCTAGCATAAATCTCTTTTAAATTATGCCTAAAATTTCAAGATGGAGAATTATCATTTTTATATGCTGATTTTCTCAGTCTAGTATCCTCATCTTGGTTGTTATAGTCACTAATTGGCTATTGTACTTTCCAGTAATAACTATGTTCCTGTCTCCCCCCAAAAGCAAGAGTTGGTCATGTAGTATTATTATGATGAAAAATGAAGTGTTTAATGGTTAAAGAAACAATTAAATACCTTCAAAATGAAACAAGGTGGAATGAAAGAAAAAAAAAAAAAAGAAAAGAAAGGAAACGAAAGAGGAAAGAAAAATCATAAGTTTATATAGAACTCAATGAGCAGAAGCTATTTCAACTGCAGGTGAAATAGGTCCACATATCAGCTCAATACTTGTGATGTACATCTGAGCAATTTAACAACTTAACATTCATCACATAACAGCCTATTTTTTTTAATAAAATAGTATTGTTACACCATTTCATAGTTTTACTAACCAAACTCACTAAGAAATTGTCTCTACCTACTTCAATGATGACAAGAAAGTCGAAAACTTGGACCATATTTCCTGTACTTTTCTTCCCGCATGGCACATAACTGATGATCCCTGTTTACAATATATGGGAAACTTAACAGGCACATTTTATTCTACCTCAGTTATGGAAGACTATAATAGCCATTATTCTTATTTTCCTTTCTAATCTGTTCACTATCTCCCATATAGTGTTATTCATTTCACATTATTGACTTTTTGAAAAACTCATATGCTACCTTATTTAACACGTTACACAGCTGAAATGTGTTAAGCACAACAACGATAAATATACAACTATAATTATGCAAATAATACTGATATTAATGCTAAAAATATTATTTATATAATAATGATACTAATCTTTAATTTCTTTTTCTTTCATTCCCTCTTTCTTTTCATTTTCTTTTTGTTTCTTTCATTTTGAAAATATTACTAATATAATAATGATACTAATATTTTCTTTTCTTTCTTTTTCTTTCTTTTTCATTTCTTTCTTTTTGTTTTTTTTCTTTTGCATTTCATTCTTTTGTATTTCTTTCCCAGTTCCTTTTTCTTTCATTCTTTCTCTCATTCTTGTTTTTTTCTTTCTAAAAATATTACTAATAAAATAAAGATACTAATATTTTCTTTCTTTCTTTCTTTCTTTCTTTCTTTCTTTCTTTCTTTTCTTTTGCATTTCATTCTTTTGTATTTCCTTCTTACTTTCTTTTTCTTTTATTCCTTCTCTCGTTTCTTTTTTCTCTCCTTTGTAACAATATTAAAAAATATTTTCTTTTTTCAATATAATTTAATTCTTTTGTATACTTACTTTCTTTTTCTTTTATTCCTTCTCTCGTTTCTTTTTCTCTCCTGTTTCTTTGTAAAAATATTAACAATATAATAATGATACTAATATTTTCTTTCTTTCTTTTTTCATTCTTTGTTCTTTCATTCCTTCATATTTGTTACTTTCTTGTCTCTTTTTTTCCTTTCATTCTAAAAATATTACTAATATAATAATGATACTAATCACTGCCCAAGCTTGAGTTCAAAAGTGTTTATGTGGCTTTATAGGCGATAAATTATTTTCCCCAGACAAAACATTACAAGCCACTTGCTACTCTATCATTATTACTATGGAAAATGTTCTAATAAGTTACATTACTTTGTCCCACCAGTTCAGACCTTAACAGCTAGGACCCACCATGCCACAACCACAGAGTCGAATCATCCTCATTCCCTTTGTATTCCTTTGGTAAGGAGTATGTTTCACTCCAGAAATATTATGTTGTGAAACAGACTCCTGAGGGGATGCTTCACCAACCAATCTTAACCTCTTCAAGTCCATTATCTATCCTATGTATCCTTATAATATACACTTCTTACTTCTCTACAATCTCACTCAGTAACCTCTACATTGAGTGGTTCTTGGACCTTGTATCAGGTGAACGTAAGTAAAAAAAAACAACTTTATTTCTTTTATTTTTCTCTTTAATTCTTTTACATTCTTTTTTTCTCTTTTCCTTTTTCTTTCTTTATTTTCTTTCCTTCTTTCTTAATATAGTCAGCTGGTTCTTTAAACATTATACAATTGATTTTTCACTATCATAATATGACATGACCAATCTTTTTCATTTTTTTTTTCTTTGCAAAATACCATTCTTTTCTCTATCTCAATCAATTCTCTATTTCTATACCAGATTATCATTTTTTTTTCTTTTCTTCTCTGCTACAAAACAGAAGCATATGATCGGTTTTGAAGTAATGGATTTTATAGACCAGCTCTCCTTGCAGGACTAACTTTCTTTTATTCTTTTACTCTTTCAGTGTTCGATGGAACAGAACACCAGCCAAAGAGGCCCTGGGAAATTTTGATCTCTTGTGAGCTGTATTTTTATTAAAATATATATATTTTAATATATGTACATAATGGTTGTTGACTTGTTAAAAACGTATGACATCACTGACAAGTTTGATCAATATTTTTAGTTCTTGTAAAAATGACGATGACTTGCAATGCTTATTTTGCTGATGTGGCAAACTAAGTTGTTTGGCAAACTGGATTGTTTTGTAAAGTCTGTTCAACTTGGTTGTGGGTTTTCATGTGATGGGTGAGATTGGAGCAGTTTCTACAGGTTTTCTGATACTTCTTGATTGTTAAGATATTTCCAGCATAGTAGATATGTACACCTGTCATCTGGTTCACAATCCTTCCTAGTCTTTTGAACAGTAGTAGAGGCTTGTCCCATGTTTCTTGTTTAGGATTGGGTTTCTGGTTCCTTCTAAAGCTTTTCTTTCGGAGTGATAGTGCCTGTTAGGGTTCCAGCTATGGTCAAATAGTGAACCCTCAAACAAAACCAAAACACTATGATAATAAAAAAATACAATTTTATAGTAAAAGTACCAGCAATACATTTTTATATAAAAAATTACCAACAATACCTATTTATATTAAAATAACCAGCAATACATTTTATATTAGAATTACCAACTATTATACAGTGTAACCCGGATATAAGAGACCCGGATATAAGAGAAACCCGGATATAAGAGAGATTTTCTCTGGTCCCAAATTAGAGCCTGTGTTAATGTATATAAATTAGACCCGGATATAAGAGAAACCCGGATATAAGAGAGATTTTCTCTGGTCCCAAATTAGAGCCTGTGTTAATGTATATAAATTAGACCCGGATATAAGAGAAACCCGGATATAAGAGAGATTTTCTCTGGTCCCAAATTAGAGCCTGTGTTAATGTATATAAAATAGACCAAACCCGGATATAAGAGAAACCCGGATATAAAGAGAGATTTTCTCTGGTCCCAAATTAGAGCCTGTGTTAAATGTATATAAATTAGACCCGGATATAAGAGAAACCCGGATAAAAAGAGAGATTTTCTCTGGTCCCAAATTAGAGCCTGTGTTAATGTATAAATAAATATATAAGAGACCCGGATATAAGAGAAACCCGGATATAAAGATTTTTCTCTCCCAAATTAGAGCCTGTGTTAATGTATATAAAATTAGACCCGGATATAAATGTATATAAATATAAGAGATTTTTCTCTGAATCCCAAATTAGAGCCTGTGTTAATGTATATAAAAATAGACCAAACCCGGATATAAAAAACCCGGATATAGAGACTTCTTCTCATCCGATATCTCTCTTATATCCGGGTGAAAATATATATTATATATTAAAGGCTATTGTTATTTTTTCGTACTTGGTATAACGTAATTTATTAAAATATTCTAAAATATGTTATTTTATATTTTAACATAATAAAAACGAAGATGACTTTAATGAAATTTTTTTTGGTCTTACTGGATATAACTCTTTATTTTTTCCACTTATAAACTATGGAATTTTCCACAAAACCAACAATACATTTTTTGAAATGACTTCAATAAAAACATTTTTAAGTTGAAGGAGAAATTTACTTCAAAATTTTCATTCGTTGCATTAAACAACCTATAAATGTGTATGATATGTGTTAAACAAAATCATGTTTCAAAAACATAAAAAAAAATCATGACCCAAATTCAAAATATTCTATAATTTAAAAAAGAAATAAAACTGTATAAGAGAAAATTAATATCAATTTTTAGAGCCATTTTTTATAGAGTTAAAACGCCTAATCTAAAAACAGTTACAAATGGCAAAACAAAAATGTCAAAATTTTTAACAAATAAAATAATTCAAATTCTCAAAAGTAAAAAGATTATTTGAACATTTTCATTATTATATTCAAACATTTGACCACAGTTTTGATCCAAATGAAAATATTAAAAAAGAATACAGATATCCTTAGAAGGAAATTTACTTTTGTATGCAAATAATTAAAGAAAGAAGTTTTTTTTAAGAAAGCATACGTTAATTAATCAATCAACAATTTGAAAAATATTCACAGTTAATGGTATTTAAAAAATGTTTGGCTTTTAAATGTTTTCTAATTCAATATTAAAATGTTGAAAAGATATAATGTATATATATATATATATTTATATATATATATATATAAATTTGTGAATATAAATTAAAATAATGAAAAATTGTTTTTAATATATTTGTCAATCAAAGATGACTTTTAAATATTTATGGAAGGTTAAATTTTATATGGTTAAACAATATATAAAATATTTACATTAAATATATTATGGCTCAAAGTGGATAAAATAAATGGATATTACAGAAAAAAATCCAATAGATGATAGTTCTATCTCTTGGATAGGTGTAAATATTATCTGTTTAAAAAAACAAAAATATGAATTATAGTTATGATATTTATGAAATATATATATATATATATGGTATAAATCAAAATATATTTATATATATTATATATATATATATATATATCATCCCGGTCGATATTTAAGTAATGTCATTTTTAAGATAATATTTACTTGAACAAGATTTTCAAAAATGGTTTTTATTTTTTAAAAAATTGGTTGAAAAAAAACAATAGTTTCAATTATTTTAAATTTGAAATATTGTCCATTCAATAGAATTTAAAAAAAAATGATTTAAAAAAAATTTGAAAAGTATATAAAGTTTTTTGAATAAATATATAAATTATTTGTCTTTTATAAAATAAATTACCAATTCTAAAAATAAATAATGAAATGTCAAAAAATATTGACATTAATTTTTAAATAATTACAAAATTTTGATAACCCGTAGTAAATCTGATTCGAAACTTTGCCTTCATAAATATACTATATATAAATATTATAATTATATTTATATATATTTAAAAAAAAAAACCTTATACAAAACAAATTCTTTAAATTTTTTAATATATTTTTGATATAATTCTTTACAAAAATATCATCAAATTAGTCTTAGCTAAAACATATCATTTTATATAAATAAAATATTTATTTATATATATATAAATATTTAATTTAAAATTTATTTTATATAATAAATATAAAATTATTTATAATTTATAAATATTATTTATATAAGTATTTTCAAACATATATATATATATGAAAAAAATCTCAGACATCTTTTAAAATATTTTTTTTAAAAATTATAAACCAATTTTGATATATAAGCCAATTATCGTTTTTTAATAATATATATATATTATAGAAAATTATTTATATATATATATATAAATAAAAAAATTTTATTGTGGAGTGGTTTAAGGACATTTTTTGTATTTGTACTATTTCGGTCATAAAATAGGTTCGACGTACAAAACGTTAGGAACTTGATATAACTATATAGAAATATCTAGAATGTGGTCGCTATACTTTAAAATATCCGACTAACGGTCGTCCGACATCGATGACTGACAACTCTCCTGAGCGATTATTACTTTTACTACTTATTATTAGGTGGGAGAGTCTATTAACTATAGAATAGGTGTGTTCCACTATAACATATAAAATTGAAAAACAAAAGATAGTAAAATGACATAATACATATATTCATTTATATATAATATAGGTAAGTATGTATTTTTTAAAAATGGAACCAATATTGTTTGGAAAAATTATTAAAAAATAAATGACCTGGAATTATATATATTAATATATATATATATTGCCATTAATTATTATTAATTTTTAATCAAAGTTTAAATCTTATTCCTTACATCAACCATTTTAAAATTAATGGTTTAAAAAAGAATAAATTATTATCATTTATATTTTGAACTTTTGAATTTTAATTTACATTATTTCAAATATTGTCCTCATATAAAATTTTTTAAATGATAAAAAAAGGGAGTATTTTAATATTGAAAATTTTTATGAATTATATATTTCTAATTAAAATGCCATGTTTAATGGATGTCATTATATGTATTAAATCTATTAATTAGCCAAATTCTGAAACTGATTTTGATTATAACCAGGATATAATTTTTTTTAATGTAATCTGTGAGGTGAAATCTGTGCCAGACTATGTCCTTTTTTTAGCAGATTTTGAAAATTAGATTATTATATATTAATGTTTTTACAAAGCTTTAGATTTTGGTTGTTCATATGAAAGAACTTTCAGATAAAAAAATTAAAACAGGAGATCCTCTGAAAAATTTCTTTTTCAAATATTCAAATATTAAACATATATAAAATATTAAATATTTAAACATTCCACACAGTATGAATATTTTTTTACTTTGAATAAAATACATCAATATAAATGAGTATATTTATCTAACTAATTTTACAGACATATTCATAAATGGTGCAGAAATAAAAAATTATTTATATATACCAGGCGAAGATATCTAGCTTTTATATATTAAAAATATATTAATATATTATAATATATATATATATATAAATATACTTATATATATATATATAAAATATATATATATATTTATATATATTTTTTAACATATAAAATTGCATTCGGGCACCTTTTTGTTTACATTCAACAAAAGAAAGATCTGAAATTATCCATAGTTCGATGTTTTTTTTTTATTTATATTGAATAGAATTTATTATTAAATAAACAAAAATATTTGTTTTATATAAATAAAAATAAATCCATATAATATATAAAAAACAAATAAATCCATTTTAAAAAGTTAAAAAAAAAATTAAAATAATGTTTAATTTGGTTTCCAATTCCATTCGATTGATTTTTGTCGGTATCAAATTTGTTTAAAAATCAAACGGTTCTTGTGTTGCATTTGAAATTTTTCTTTTCAAAAAACGAAAAAAATTTTTAAAAAAAATTCTGACATTAAAAATGAAATTGTCAATTTAAACTATTTATTGGGCAAGATACTTAAATTGATGTTTATAAATTCGTTTTTTTAAACATAAAAATATATCTTATCAAAATAAATTGTTTTTTGATTTTATAATTTTATTAAAATATTTATATATAAAAAATAATTTAATATTTCAGCCAAAATATTATTGAATCATATAGTTTATTACAAAACCAGCAAATTAGAATTTAGTTAAATTTTATTTATTAGTCCATTGAAAATCTTTTGATAATTCAGATATATTTAAAAGGAGTGGCCAAGAATTGTTTTTCCAAAAAAATAACCATCTGTATGTTGAAAAGGAACAAATCTCAAAAGAAGGAATTGATTATGGATTAAAAAAAGGTAACTGAATTATATTTTTAATTTGACATGTAAATTATGTAATATAGTATTAAATTAATTATTGAAGAACCCAGACCACAATTTTTTTCCATACATATTTTCCTTTTATATATATATATATATATATATATATATATATATATAAATATATATAATATATATATATTTGAATTTTTTTTTCAGAGTTTTTTCTGTAGATCTAAATTTGATTTGAAAAGATATAAAAACAATAGGAAATATTTATGAGCTGATTTGTTCAATACAATAAATATGGAAAAGACTTTCCAATATAAAAAAAAAATATAAGATTTTATATAACTTTAAAGATATATTTTAAAAATATAATTATTTTTTTATATATTATAATTTGCGACGATGGATTTCAAATATTAAATTAAATCATTAACCTTTGCATTATATTTTGTGTGAATAATTCATGAATTTGTAAATTGATTGCACGTTTATCGTAATTAAAATAACTGATCCAAGTAACTTTTTGGATAATAAGTGCGACATTACTGTAATTATTGAACAATATAGTTCATGCCACTTTGACAGAAAATTTACCAGTAAAAAAAAAATTCGTTTATCATCATATTTGTACAAGAACGCACAACTGTAAAAAATTTAAAATCAAACTCAGCGTTGCTACTGCACGCTCCAAAAACAATAACTCATTTCAATAGCATTTTCGGATACAACAATACATATATTTTCGTTGTCCTCTTATTACTAAGAGAAAAAACAAGAACAAACATCTATTCCATACCTGAAGATGTCTGTAGGAACAGACGAAAGCTTGTAGTAAAAAATAAGAACTAATGCAGCAGAAATTTATAGAAACAAGGATCTTTTCATTCATAACAGGTTTGGAGGTTTTTGTATATTATTTGAATTGTTTGCGACGATGGATTTCTCGCCAATTAAATTATTAACCTTTGCATTTGTTTTTGTGTGAATAATTCATGAATATATATATATATATATATATATATAGAAAATGAACAAGTAGGAAACAGATTTGAATCTAATGTCTTTCACTTTATTAAAAGCTTCATCAGAGATCAAGATAGAAATGATAAAATTGATGAAAAGCAAATTGAGATGCAGATTAATGTTATCTTGTGTTAGGCTATTTCATTTTAGTTGTATATATATATATATATATATATATATATATATATATATATATATATATATATATTTATACACAATGAAGTTTATTCAAAAGAACTGACAAGGTCTTGTTTCATTTTTTATTGTATTTTTCCAAACAAATTTGAACTTTGAACAGTCTATCCACAATTTTAATCCCAGCACACAATGCCTGATTTGAAAATTGGAAAAATACAATAGAAAATTAAACAGACAAACCTTGTTGGCTCTTTTCAATCAAACTTGTTTGGATAAATACTTGCTGCCTAAATATCTTCTTCTATATGTTGTGACCCTTCACGATGTGGCTGATCATAGTTCTCAACTTTCTGTCTTTTGTAGCCCTTAGTAAAATTTCTCTTTTGACTATCTCTGCTAATCCCTGTTCTGCCAGCCATTAACACAAGCACATTAGATAGGTAATGTACTACTTTCCTCTGTCCCTCTGTGTGTGTCAAGTTTTCCAAGCCATCTTTCTTCATTATGTGCCTGAGAAATTTCAACTATCCTTTTCCAAGGCTAAGTAAAAGTGTCCTTTTCATTTCCATTTTATCTAAAACTTCATTGTTGCTCACAAGTTCTGTCCCCAGTATTCTTAGCATCCTTCTGTAGAACCACATTTCTGTTGCTTAAAGTCTCTTCAGCATCTGTGATCAGATGGTCCAACATTTACTGTCATATAGGAGGACTGATATTACATAACAGTTCAGTATCAGGGGCTGCTGAAAAGCTCTTGGACAGACAAGAAACTCTTTCATTCTATTCCCTAAAATTCTGATAATTGGTCATTTGATCAAATTTCAGTAAGTGGGTCTTGGCAAAGAACATTTCAACCCTTATTTGTGTATGACATGTTTTTAGGCAACAGATTTTCATTGATACTATGTTAATTGTTTTCTTTTTAAATTGAACAAAAAAATTTAGAAAAGTAAACAAATAATATATATAAAAGTATATATATATATATATATATATATATATATAACTCTAAATCTTCTAGTTGTTCATTCTGTAATCTCACACTATTCTTATTTATCTGTCTGTTCTTATGTATCAGTTTTCCTCACAGGAATTAAAACCATTGATCAGACTTTTCAGTAATGGTTATATTCATTTTCAACAGCCATCATCTTTTTCATTCTGTTCACATCTATCTATCTATTATCTATCTATCATATTATCTATCTATCTATCTATCTATCTATCTATCTATCATTCATTCATATCTATAAATCTATCTAGGAATCTATCTATCTATCTATCTAAATCTATCTATCTATCTCAGTTCATATCTATCTATCTATTTATCTAATTCTGTTCATATCTATCTCAGTCTGTTCCTGTCTATCTCTCTATCTCTCTCTCTCTATCTATCTATCTATCTATCTATCTATCTATCTCTGTTCATATCTATCTATCTAGCTAGCTAGCTATCTATCTAGCTATCTATCTAATTCTGTTCATATCTATCTATCTCAGTCTGTTCCTATCTGTCTATCTCTGTTCATTATCTATCTATCTATCTATCTATCTATCTATCTATCTATCTATCTATCTCTTTTAATTGGTCCATATAATCTGTTTATTCATACTTTCTCTCTCTTTCTGTATCTATCTCAGTCTGTTCATATTATCTCTCTCTATATCTATCTCAGTTGGTCCATATCTGTCCTTGTTCATTCGTATCATCTTTCTCTCTTTCTGTTCATATCTATCTCTCTATTTCAGTCTGTTCATACTGTCTCTTTCTATATCTATCTATCTATCTATCTATCTATCTATCTATCTATCTATCTATCTATTTCAGTCTGTTCATACTGTCTCTTTCTATATCTATCTATCTATCTATCTATCTATCTATCTATCTATCTATCTATCTATCTATCTATCTATTTCAGTCTGTTCATATTGTCTCTTTCTATATCTATCTATCTATCTATTTCAGTCTGTTCATACTGTCTCTTTCTATATCTATCTATCTATCTATCTATCTATCTATTTCAGTCTGTTCATACTGTCTCTTTCTATATCTATCTATCTATCTATCTATCTATTTCAGTCTGTTCATACTGTCTCTTTCTATATCTATCTATCTATCTATCTATTTCAGTCTGTTCATACTGTCTCTTTCTATATCTATCTATCTATCTATTTCAGTCTGTTCATATATCATATATATTTCTATATCTATCTATCTATCTATCTATCTATCTATCTATTTCAGTCTTTCATCTGTTCTTTCTATATCTATCTATCTATTTCAGTCTGTTAATATAAAATCATCAATTCATCTATCTATTTATCTATCTCATCTATCTATCTATCTATCGATATATCACATCATCATTTCCAGTTCTAAACATTTAAATCCATAATATCCATCTATTCATCTATCTATCTATCTATCTATCCATCCATCATTCTGTTCATTCGTATCACTATCTATCTATCTCTAATCTATCTATCTATCTATCTATCTATCTCAGTCAATTCATTGTTCATTTTCATCCATATCTATCCATCTATCTATCTATCTATCTATCTATCTATACAAAAAATCAGTCTGTTCATATCTATAAAAATCTATCTATCTATCTATCTATCTATCTATCTTTGGGAAATTATTATCTCATTCTGTTCATTATTATCTATCTATCTATCTATCTATCATCTATCTATCTCATTCTTTTCTGACAATATTTCATCATATCATCTATCTATCTATCTATCTATCTCATTCTGTTGTAAATTAAATTATCTATCTATCTATTACATCTATCTATCTAAATATATCTGTTCATTATCTATCTATCTATCTATCTATCTACAAACTACTTCATTCTAATCCTCTCTAGCTATCTATTGCACTGTCTGTTATTGATAATAAATTTTTATTTAGCATAGCATTTCTTCCTATTGTAGACTTGATGAAGATCTTGTGTCCGCTGAAGTCATTCACCCAGACAGCAAAGGTCGCTGTGGCAACAGTGGTTCCAGTGTGAGGTCTGGTAACCAAAAGAGGTCAACAGTCACTACATGGCGATGAGAGGAATTGAATCAACCTCCCAGATATATTTCACTTAATTTCCTTGTCAACTGATACAGCTGAGAGTATTTGTTGAGTTTTTCTAATTTCCCAAATGTCCATTTGTCACCATTTGCTGTGGTCAATACTTCTGGCTTTACTAAAAGTAATGATGACTCAAAATGTCAAATATAAATGACAAACATTCTTCCTGTTTAAAATGAAAACAATCTCACAAAACTGACAATTTTTGGAAACAGTGAGCGTACGTGTTGGTGTGTGTATGAGTGCTTGTAAGTGCTTGATGGTTGTTGCAAAATTACTTACATTGCTGATCAGCAGCTGTCCAGAGAAAAGGAGATAATTCACTTCCAACACGTTCTTGTTTATTTGTTTTATTTATTTTCTAATTTGTGGTTTTGGTTTCCACAAGAGACATCAATTGCAAAAGCCATCATAACTTAAACAGATTTCACAATACACCAATATACACAAGAAATATATTTCCCTAGCCTGAATGTTAGATTGTCATGTCCACTAAATATTTCATCATGATTTAGATAGATACTACCGAAATCTTGTGCAGACATAGTAGAAGATATACCATGCGTCTTTTTAGGGCCAATTAAGAAGAAATCAGTAATATAATTCAGGAGCAGAGTTTCTTACACAAAAGTGTATAAAATTCACAAAGTCTGGCCCCAAACATGAGACACAAATTTCACCAAGATCTGCATCACTCTAGCTGCTTAGTATTTATCAATCCACCCACAAGGATAGAATGTGGCACAAGGCCGGTTTAATGTTTTTGTATGTGTGTGCCCATAGGACATATAAATCCAACATCTCTTATTTTTGAACCAATTTGACGGATTCAGGCCCTGTCTACCTAAGAACGAAACCTTGTCCTTCGCAAAGCTTTGAGTCCGGGTTCCATATATAATGCAGAGAGTTACGACAGACGCCGACTGGAAGCTCACTAAGGCAGATTACTACTTTGATCAATTTTAAATTTCATTTTTAGCTGCTTATCTTCAAGACCCATTCACGTCCACATGTGAAAAACTACCTTGCTGACAAAGTACAAAGAGACCGATCCAAACTACAGCAACACAGTTCACAGTAAGAACTAAATATGATCTCTTGTATCCCCCATTACTACTAAGCATGCACACACGTACTGACTCTTTCACATAAACACACATATAACAACATTTCATTGTTTCTCACATACATACACAAATACAATTTATATTCTATTCCAGAACTTTATTAATCAAAACAAAAACATTACTTTCAAATCTATAACCATTGTATTCTTGACATTATATTAAATTAATGTTTATTTGTTGATACTATGTTGTCTTTTTCTATTGGATTTTATTCTTTAAATATAAATCATGGGGTTATTCTAAATGGCTGAATTATGAGCAGCAACATTTTATGTTATTGTATTGTAAAAGAAAAGGAAATAAAAACTTCTTTATTTTGTAGCACTCATGTTAATCATTTCATTCTATTAACATTTGTACCTAACATATATCAGGTCATTGTTATAAAATGAAATAAGATATATCTCGGCCGATTTGCATAAAAATAAACTAACATACTTAAGAGCGAGCGGGAATGAACGGGAAAATCTGATATCTTCACAAAATAACCATTATCATCGTCTATGCATAAGCCTGACAATTTTATGAGTTCGGTCGAAAAAATAAAATAATATTTTAAAGTGTTTCTATTTTTCGACCAATAAAAATGCTTCCCTCCTAATTATACTCGCATCATTTTTTGAGCCTGTTAAGCCATAAAAAACGCCATAAAAAGGGTCACATGGGGAAGTACAAGAGCAGTCAACAGGAGGCCAGGGAAGAGATCGGTCACAGTTGGTCTGAGCAGTCAGCAGCAGTAGCACCACGCCAACCAATGAGAACTACTATGAGAGATCAACCCAGGTCAGCAGCTGGCCTATGAACTACACCACAAGGTAGCTGTCTCAAAACCACACGTTCCTATTGAAATAAATCACGTAAATCTATTTCTGCTGTTGTCGTATTTCTTTCTTGCAACCATACACTTGTCTATAACATCATCTGTCCGAATTTTGAATAAAGAAAACAAGTGACCAAATGTTACATTTAATTACAGATTCAATCAACAATGTATTTTCCCTGATTATCTATGACTTCCTTCCATCTATTAACATGCTTACTAATTCCATTACTGTAAGATTCTTTTGGTTTTGATTCGAAGAACTCACAAATGTCAGTTTTAACCTCTTCCTGTGTTACAAAAGCTGTTTCTTCCAAATGATTCTGTAAGCTACGAAACAAATGGTAGTCTGAAGGAGCAAGATCGGGAGAATAAGGTGGATGAGGAATTTTCTCCCAACCAAGTTCTTTGATCTTTTGTGACGTGATTCTTGCTGTGTGAGGTTGCACATTGTCCTGATGAAACATCACCTCTTTTTGATTCACTAGATCAGGTCTTTTTTTCCTCAAAGCTTGGTTCAAATGCTCTAATTGCTGACAGTATATTTGAGCATTAATTGTTGCATTAGGTGGTAAGAATTCAAAGTGGATTATTCCTTGGCGATCTCACCAGATTGAAAGAAGAACCCTTTGCCCATGAAGTTCCCTTCTCGGCTGTGGCTGGGGTCCTTCCTCTTTACCAAGCTACTGTCTATGATGCTTAACATTTTGATAAAAGATCCATTTTTCATTGCCAGTCACAAGTCTATCCAAAAAAGGTGAAACAAGTGAAATGGAGAGAAGAGCAGATGTCAACTCGGGATTTGAGGTTGTTTTCAGACAATTCATGAGACACCCATTTTCCAAGTTTAAGAACTTTTCCAAGTTGTTGAACATGACGATGAACAGTTGTATGGTTTGAACTGAGAACCACTGCCAATTCCTCAACTGATAAAGCAGGATTTTCTTCAAGGACTGCTTCAAGAAGCTTTTAATCAAACTCAACTGGACATCTGGTTCGATCTTCATCTTCAAAGATGAAATCTCCACCTCTGAATTTTGCAAACCATCTTCTGCAAGTTCTTTCATTCACACATTCCTCTCCATAAACTGAGTGAATGTTTCTAGCCGCTTCGGCTTCTGAGTTTCCTTTCTTGAACTCATAAAGCATTATGTGCCTCAAATGATTCTTGGGTACTTCCATGTTAGCAGAGTTTTAATCAAACAAAATTTAATTTTATTGTTCTCTGAAATAAAATTTGATCAGTTTAAATGCATCTAAACATAAAAATAATGTTCAGCTTCATTAGACATTATAAAATACTCTTTAAATTTTGTTCATTTTAACAAAAAGTTAAAAGTCGGACAGAACTTAAGGGATGACCTGATACAATAAAAATCGATGACAATTTATTTTAAAGTCTATAAATACCTAAGTCCAAGAGGTGTACAAAAATAAGAAAGAATTACTTAGAGTAACAAGAACAGGAAGTTGTGGAGGTCATGAACACTAACATACTGAAAAGACATGGCACATAAAAGAAGAAAGTAACTTTTAACAACTGAACAATAAAGACTAAAAGGGATTGTAAAAAGACATGAATTACTTAGAGCAACTAAAAGAAGGATGTTGTGGAGTGTCATGATCATCCATGTCCTGAAAACACATGACGCATAAAAAAAAAAGAAAAAAGAATTACCTTTCTTCTTTTCCTACAGTTACTATAACATCAATGTTGATGATGATGATGATGATGATGATTTGTACGCACTTCTGGTCCCACCACTAGGGAATGCTAGGAGTGTTGCAGGCAGTTATGCATTTCCCAACTTGTTTCAGGTGTTAGAAACATCCGTATTTCAAATTGGGAAATGTGTCTCCTGAAATCCTTACAACAAAAAATGAGGGACTCATGTGAAAAAATGTAAAGAAATGACAGCAAGAAGTTGATGACCACATAACTGCCTACAACAAGTTGGTGACCTTGACGTGATGCAAAAAAAGATCTATTTGCTGAGTCGGAGAACATCATGTGTTGTATAGATATGTTGCAGTGGTTGAAATTTGTGATTTTGCTCTTTCATAGGATCTAATCACAAACTTTGTAGCTGTGTAAATGTATATTTGAGTCTGCACATATATAACCTTTGTGGGTTTCTTGTTATCAGGAGAAAAATAATAATCCCGAAACCTGGGAACAACAGCAATTAAGAGGTGGTTTTCATGATCAAAGGCTTTGCTGACAGATGTTTTTCATACACAGGATTATAGGATTCAGGAAGACTGAAGATGGCGATTGTCGTTGCATTTAAATTTTTGAAGACCATAGGTGGGAGGGAAGCAAGAAATTGGGCGGGGTTTCCAGAGGTGAGAAGTACTAAAAAAGAAACTATTAGAATAGAATTAACAGTGGCATCGAGCTAGTTCTATCGTAAAATGGTGAGACCTAATTACCAATCTAGTAGCATGCTTAAATTCTTGTAGTCAAGGCACTAAGAAGAACAGTTCATCAAAACAATTGCCATGAAAATATTTGTAGAACAGGCAGAGGGAAGTTATGTTGCAACAGTGAGAAAGTGACTGAAATCAAGATGCTAGTCTAGGATTGATTATATTACAGACACAGAAAGTTTGTCCACCCAATAAATAGAGGGATGCACACTTAAAATATGTTTGGGAATCTCACCTAAAATTTAAAATTAAATGAATATTTGGTTTAGAGGAAAAAATGTTCTCAATCTGTTTTTGAGAATTTATATAACTAGGGCAATCAAAAGAAATGTGCAGAAAATGCATTTTTTAAAAATTTATAATTACAGTGACTTATCACTATGTGTTTACTTAAATTT